TTGCTGTCTCATTGTCGGAAGGCGGGCCCTCCACCAAGTCCTCCATGCCTCATCTGGCACTTTCGTGCTTTCGGTGCGGGCATCGAGCCCCTCCAAGGCCTTCTTGTCCAACTTCTTCACACTCCCGCTGGCCGGCTCCATGTCGACACACACAAAGATCTACGAATTTAGATGTATAAAGCTGCCTGCTGCTGTGGCAGAGCTTTGACAAGATCTCACCGCATCTTCATGAAGACCTCCTGCTGCTTGCTGTTCTGATCGGCCACAACTCTCTCTAGTAGTTTCCATTTGCTTTTCCATTATCCCCATTATATAATCCCTATAGAACCCCTATATTACCCCTATATAGCCCCATAGAATCCCTATGTTACCCCTATATAGCCCTATAGAATCCCTATATTACCCCTATATAACCCTATAGAATCCCTATATTATCCCTGCATAACCCTATAGAATCCCTATATTATCCCTGCATAACCCTACAGAATCCCTATATTATCCCTGCATAAGTTCCGACCTTTCCAAGCCTTTTGCTTTGGGTTAGGCAGGTAAGGCCATGGCGCAGCACGTCAAGCTGGGCCCTGAAAAGTTGTCTGAATGCTTTAGGCTTACTTGGAGGCCCATGGGACTTAGTAACTACTTATCATTGGCATTATAACCCTACTTATAATCCATTTAACTGGGCTTATAGGGGTTGCCCCAATCATAAGTAGGGTTATAATCCCTGTTACAAGTATTTACTAAGTCCCATGGGCCTCCAAGTAGGGCTCAAGGTTTAGAGCTAAGGATTTTATAGTAGATAGAATATGGGGTATATGGGGATCCTATAATTTAATAAACCCAAAACCATATATGGGGACCTTAGGGCTTAGGGTTCAGGGCTAGCGTGCCGTCGCCACAGCATCGCTGCAACCTCTCTCCGCCGCGCGATGGTTCAGGCATGAGGGCAGTTTAGGGTGTAGGGTTTCCCTAAACCTCTAAACCCCAAACCGTTGAACGCTAAAACCTGGCAGCTAAAACTTAACCCGCAAACCCCAAGCGCCACATGTAGCCCCGGTTGCCTACAGAATTATGGGCTATATCTGCTGATTAGTGGTAATTTCTACAATTGCAGCTGTGTGTAATTGTGTTACAGGTAAGCCTCCACCACATTAACTCAAAACCTTAAGCCCGAAACCCTAAAACTCAACTTAACCCACTGCCTCTCGCACTTTGCGGATTTGGGGGCTGAGGGCTGCCATAAGATTTCGGGTTTAGGGCTACCAGCATGGCTGACATTGGCTGGGACATCCCCCACATCCGTCACTCAGCACCCAAGAACGCCGACAAGGTCATGAAAGTGGCTGAGGATTTAAAACCTAGGGTCTTTAGTCCACGCACTACGCAAACATCAGGCGAACCTTACACCTTGAATGCTGACCCCCAAATCCTAAAACTCTAAACTCTAAGCCCCTTTGGTCAAAAACCAACGCATAGGCGGACTAAACCTGAAGCCCGGAACCCCTAAACCCGAAACCCTGAGGCCTAATCTAACCCTAAACCCCTAAACCTTAAACCCTAAACCCTGAACCCCTGAGCCCTAAACCCTAAACACCCTAAACCCCCTAAACCCCCTGAACCTTGAACCCTAAACCCTAAACCCCCTAACCCTAAACCCCCTGAACCTTGAACCCTAAACCCTAACTCCTGAACCCCTAAACCCCCTGAACCTTGAACCCTAAACCCTGAACCCCTAAACCCCCTGAACCTTGAACCCTAAACCCTAAACCCTGAACCTGAAACCCCCTGAACCCTGAACCCTAAACCCCCTGAACCCTAAACCCTGAATCCCTGTCCTGCGCTTGCTCCTCGCGCGGCCTCTTGGGTTTTCTCCTACGACCCAGCTTTCTCACCTCTCAGAAAGCAAGATGCTTCAGGTGGGAGAGTACGTATACAGGTTTAGGTTTCAGGGATTAGGATTTAGGGATTAGGGTTTAGGGATTAGGGGCTAGGGTTTAGGATTTAGGTTTCAGGTGTAGGGTGTGCCGGATGGGGGTTTAAGGCATTTGGTTCCTCTTTGGGATGGCCTAAAACGGAATCATTTGGTTTCCATACATGGAGGGACCCCAACATACACACCAAAACTGGGATTACTACAATCCAAATATTCCCTACAAGGTTTTCCCGAAACTCTAAACCCCTAAGCCCTAAACCTTACTAGACCACTAGGATTAAAACAAAAATAATGTAGACCCATGATGAATAAACTCCCTCCCCTAAAGAGGGAGTATAATAGGGCTCCTACTATTTAGGCCCTTGAAAGGAAGGGGGTTATTAATCATGGGTCTACATTAACCCCTAAACTCTAAATCCTAAACCCTAAACCCTAAATAGTAGCTTCCATTTTCTTTTCCATTATCCCTATATATCCCTATATAACCCCCATATATTCCTGAAAAGGAAGGTTTTTTTTCATGGGTTAACCCTAAACCCTAAACC